CTTTACATAATTCAATGGTGATTAACAAGGCAACCGGTGGTCTTTAACCTCTCAACTTTTTATTTTCTTCTCTCTCTAAGATAAGTTGGGCACCGTTGAGAACCGGAGAAGCCACATGGAATTTTAGAGTGCTAGTAGAACGAGCGAACAATGTTTGCAAAATAGACCAGGTTGACTCGGACCAGGTCGGGTTGCTGAAAGCGGCAACTGGCCATGTACCGATTTTGGCAGGTTAGGGTGGTCAAGTAGCAAATTTTTAAAAAAAATCTAAAAAAATAAAAAATAAGAAATTTATTAGTAATAGGTTTTAAATGTCGGGATTGTCTACAAAGAGATTATTTATTTTTTATACATAAAGATAACAATTATTCTTATCCTTTAAATTTTCAAATAGGTGGTTGTAAGAGTATCATTGAATAGACATAAAATTCCAAAAAAACAAAAAAATCTCAAACTTCATGACTCACCCCAAGCCATCCAATTTTACATTTAGTGAGTAGGAATAGTTGTGACCTCCATTTACAAAAGATAAATGTCTCTTTGTAGACAATTCCTTAAATGTTTTCTATTGATTTGAAAAAGATTGGGAAATATTTTGGCCATAATTACTTATTTTTATAGTTTTCTTTCTTTTTTGGATTATTTCTGCCCACAAAGTGTTTTTTTGAAATCCATTTTTCACTACTTCGTAATCTCACTTAGATGTATTTTATTTTAGGGTGCGGTTTGTATAGAACCTAGGCTCTAAACAAACAAATTAGAGCCTACCTTCAGGTAGTGTCGAGAAATATGGTTTCAAAACTGAAAATCTTTTTGATAGCCTTAAAATATATTTTCATCTTTATTTATAAAGTTTAAAGCTTAAAAAATAGTGTAGATCTACAGAACTATGATAACTTAAAAATCTTGAAAATTGACAGTCCAAAAGTGCGCTACAAAATACACTATTTCCAAAACTTGAAATCCATTTTTTTTCTCATGTCCATGCATCTTGATGTCGAGATGATGAATTTGAGAATATTTGGGCATCAAAACAATCTTTTCTAGTGAAATTTTTGAGGTAGGCTTGAATTTGATTGTTTAGCGCCTCGGCTCTATATAAACTTTTCCCTTTATTTTATTATACTTTAAGCAATTGTTATAAATCAAATTTTCTAAACTTATATTTTTAATATTTTTTTAAAGCTCATTTTGACTTTTTAATGTTGTTTTTTGTTTTATTTTTACTTTTATTACCTTTCTTTTTTTTCTTTTTTTTCTAATTTATTAAAGGCTTTTGAGCCTTATAGATGACTCAGATGTATTACAGACTCAATCAAGTAACTCGCCTCCGTCCAAAGACGGCAACTCCAAAAACATTGGTCTCACGTGTACTCACACATTCCATAATCGTTGAGTGGGAAGAGTACGGTTACAAACTAACTTACAAAAGAAACCTAAAGTTTCTTAGGTAATGCACCCTTCATTTGGTCTTTTTATTCAGCAACTTAAATGGTAAGAGTCGAACTAAGTATAAACCATTGCCAAGGTCAAACACTAGTCCATCACGCTTAGGCCTTATTCCTGGGTTCATACCAGGTCTAGAATTAGTTGATAGTTTTGAAGAAAATAAGTGGTATTATTTTCTTTAGGGAAAATTACATAAATATCTATTTTAGTTTTTATTATTATCAAAGTACCCAAATTTTATGTTAATACTGATATGTCCGTTTTTTGGATAACAACTTTTTTTAAAAAATAATGAGTCTACCCATTTTCAGTTTTTCAAAAATTGAAATCACGCCAATTTTGGTTCTTCAATACCCGAAATTGTTTTTCTCTGTTGTAAATCCTATGCGTATTCTCTATCTACCTGTCTCAATCTCTGAAACCCCTCTACCTCTCTGAAACCCTTTTTCTCTCAAACCCACCATCTCTTTCTCACACCCACCCTCTCTTAATGAGAGATCCCTCTCTCTCTCCCTGACACTCTTACTTAACCTACTAC